ACGCGAGATTGAAAGACTGATCCAAAGAGGCCATCTGAGTAACTTCGTCAAAGGGGCTGCACAGCAACCCAACCATGTATGGCGGAAATCATCAGAACAAGTGGCATGCACGCAGCCGGAGACCCGAAGGGCAGAGAAAAGACACATTGGAAATGAGAGTGACGAGGATGCCTCGGATGAGCCAGGGCCGAAGCGAGACAAGAGGAACCATGACATCAATTTCATTTATGGAGGTAATGCAGGCGGGGACTCTTCGTCCCTTCGAAAGAAATGGGCTCGTCAACTGTACATTGGTGAGATCATGCACTCTCCAATGAAAAAGAAGGTACGACGTGAACCTATATGCTTTACTGATGATGACCTACCACCATGTCCAAGCCCACATCGGGATGCCATGGTTATCAAAATGGAGATCAATGATCTTGTCATACACCGTACCCTGGTCGACACTGGAAGTTCCGTTAACATAATGTACCTCGACACTTTCGAGAAACTGAAGTTGTCCAAAGGAAAACTCCATCCGATAAAAACCCCGTTATCTGGGTTCACGGGTGACTCTATCGAGGCAGAGGGAGTTGGCACGGTCCCGGTAGAGGTGGGGGACACATCCCATAAAGTGAAACTCAACATGGAGTTCGTAGTTGTCCGACTGACATGTGCACATAATCTTATACTCGGACGGCCAGGCCTGGAAGATTTGCAGTGCATTGTGTCCCCGGCACATCTTTGTATTAAGTTCCCAACACCAACCGGAGTGGGGATAGCACGCGGGAGCCAGAAGCTCGCCCGAACATGCTACATAAAAATCACAAAGAAGGTGGGGCGGCATGGCCTCCAGGTAAACACTGTGGCCACACAATACCTACAAGATGAAGAGCGAAGACCCCGTGCTGAACCAGCAGAAGGGACAGAAGAGGTCACCCTTGACCCTGCAACCCCAGAGCGCAAGGTTAAGATAGGCACCGGATTGTCAGCTGAGCTCCGCGCTGAGGTCATAACTGTCCTGACTATGTACCAAGGCATATTTGCAAGAGGACCAGAGGACATGCCGGGCATCAGTAGAGATGTCATCTCTCATCGCCTAGACGTAGACACTATGTCAAAACCGGTGAAACAAAAGAAACGTTACATGTCCTCGGACAGGCGGGAATTCGTAAGGAAAGAAGTGGGCACCTTGTTAAAAATCGGCCACATCAAGGAGGTAAAATACCCAGAATGGTTGGCAAATGTGGTATTGGCACCTAAACCCCCAACGTGGAGGATGTGTGTTGATTACACTGACCTAAACAAGGCATGCCCGATGGATCCATTCCCATTGCCTAACATCGACCAATTGGTGGACGAGACAGCGGGGTGTGAATTGATGAGTTTCATGGATGCTTTCAGTGGATACCACCAAATTCGCATGCATGAGGAGGATGCAGAGAAGACCTCATTCATGACTCCAGAGGGTGTTTTCTGTTACTTAGTCATGGCGTTTGGACTGAAAAACTCTGGGGCAACGTACACTCGCATGATCTCTAAACTTTTTCGACCCGTCCTAGGCCGCACCATGGAGGCCTACGTGGATGATATGATTGTGAAGAGTAAAAGAGCAGGTACGCATGCCGTGGATTTGGCAGAGGTGTTCAAAATCATGGAGAAGTTCAATCTTCGTCTCAATCCAAAGAAGTGCACGTTCGCCGTCCAAGGAGGGAAGTTCCTGGGTTACTTGGTGAGTAGAAGAGGAATCGAGCCAAATCCAGAGAAAATCAAGGCCATACTCGAAATGGAACCTCCTCGTAATGTCAAAGAAGTGCAACGATTGACGGGACGCTTAGCGGCTTTGAACCGCTTCTTATCAAAACTAGCAGAGAAAGCCACGCCATTCTTCCACATCATGAAGAAATCAAAGGGTTTCGTATGGACTGAGGAGTGCCAAAAGTCATTCGAGGGATTGAAAAACTACCTCTTGTCTCCTCCTGTCTTGTCCAAACCTGAGGCGGGGGAGACATTATACCTATACCTAGGGGTTTCACCAAGTGCAATTAGTTCTGTCCTGGTGCGTGAAGATGGCGGCGTCCAGAGACCCGTTTACTACGTAAGCAAAACTTTGAGGGACGCTGAGCTACGGTACACAACCATAGAAAAAACTGTTCTGTCCGTGGTGTGGACGGTCAAACGGCTCACACAATACTTCCAAGCTCACCCTGTCCATGTACTGTCACACCAACCCCTGGGTGCCTTAATGAGAAGTCCCACGGCTTCCTCGAGGATGATCAAATGGGCAGTGTATCTAAGTCAATTTCATATAGAGGTGAAGCCAAGACCTTCCATCAAGGGGCAAGCTCTTGCAGATTTCATAGTAGAATGCACAGCGCGGGAGGAAGCAACGAAGATGAAGCATGGCGACGATGAACAAGAGTGGTGGATATTATCCACGGATGGCTCCTCCGCGGCTAAATCTTGCGGGGGAGGGGTGGTCCTCACCACGCCCGAAGGCTTCAGGGCCTATTACGCTATCCGGTTCAACTTCAAGGTGTCGAATAATGAAGCAGAGTACGAGGCTCTACTATGTGGTCTACGCTTGGCGGCAAACATGAGGGCGGAGAAGGTCAAGATACGGTGTGATTCAAAACTAGTGGTTGGACAGATCACGACGGAGTTTGAGGCGAAGGAAGAACGGATGCGGCTATATCGTGACGCTGCCCTGGAACTTCTGAAGTTGTTCATCGCCTATGAAATTGAACAGATACCAAGAGCGCAAAATGTCGAAGCAGACATGTTATCCAAATTAAGTGCAGAGACACCGGAAAGGATTTCAAAGATTGCAAGGATAGAAGAGTTGGACACTTCCAGCATATATGCGTGCCCTGTCCAGGCCATAACCACGAGGGACGCAGACTGGATTGACTGCCTCATCAAGTATATCAACGAGGGAGTGCTGCCCGCGGAGGAGGTTGAGGCCAAGGTGACTAAGATGAGGGCGCCGAGTTATACCATTTTGAATGAGAAACTGTACAAGAGGTCTTACAATGGCACGCTTCTCAAGTGCTTACGACCAGATGAGGCCAAGGTCGCCATGGAAGAGATACATGCAGGGATATGCTCAGCTCACCAAGGAGCACACACCATGTCCCGAAAGGTAATCCTACAAGGTTTCTTCTGGCCAACCATAGTTAAGGATTGCGCTGAATTTGTCAAGAGGTGTGTGGTGTGTCAAGAGTTCCAGAAATCTCCGGGACGTCCAGCCACCAACTACACCCCCATCAGCACGGCTATACCTTTCGCAAGGTGGGGAATAGATCTCATTGGTGCCTTACCAAGGGGAACAGGGAGCGTGAGATGGGTTATCGTTGCCATTGACTATTTTACTAAATGGATAGAAGCAGTACCCCTAGCAAGCATCACTGAAGGGCAATGCAGAAAATTTGTCATGAAGCACATCCTTTGTCGCTTTGGAGTACCCCAACAGATCATAACCGATAATGGGAGGCAATTCGGGGCGTCTGGGTTTAACGAATTCTGTGAGAGTTGGGGGATCAAACACAGCAATGCGTCAGTTGCCTATCCCCAAGCGAATGGCCAAGTGGAGAATGCAAACCGCACGATCATGGACGGTTTGAAGAAAAAGCTGGAAGCAGCCGGAGGGGAGTGGGCTGAAGAACTACCACAGATACTCTGGGCATACAGGACCACACCAAGAAAGGCCACAGGGGAGACACCATTCTCCTTGACATATGGTTTCGAGGCGAGGGCACCTGCGGAAGTAATTCTCCATAGCCGCCGAGAAGAGGAATATGACCCCGAGACGAACGAGGAGGTCATGGCGACCGAGCTTCTTTTTATTGAAGAAAGAAGAGAAGCGGCTTTCTGCCGTGCGGAGAACTATAGAAGGCAGGTGAAGGGATACCATGATTCTCGAGTTCGTAAACGCAACTTTGAAGTTGGGGACTATGTCTTGAGAAAAAGGGAGGTCAGCAAACCCTTGGAAGGGGGGAAATTTGCCAAAAATTATGAAGGCCCTTACGTGATTAAATCAGTGATCCGTCCAGGGACGTTCAAACTCCAGACGCCGAAGGGAAAAGAAATTGAGAGGACTTGGAACGCAGAACACTTGCTCAAGTTTTACCATTGAAAATTTATCATTGATACTCCAACCTGATGATTATGATGTATGGTAACCACGTATGGTGGTAAACGCGGTCCTTTTCCATCCACTGTTTTCAAATAAGAGATCTCCTTGATCCACACAAGAGTGAATAATGGCAGTCCCTGGCCGCAAAAAAAAAAAAAAAAAAAAAAAAAAAAAAAAAAAAACATGGTGTCGTTCAAAGACACTGTGGGTGTCAAGCTCACCCAAAACAAAAACAAATTACAAGGTGTCATCCAAGGACACCGTGGGTGTAAAACTCACCCAAAACAAAAAAAAAAAACAAAAAAAAAATGAAATAAAAAACTAGTAAGTAGCCAGGCATGTCTCCTATGACATAGCTGAAATTCTCAACACGCAAGGGGTATAGACTCGCCCCTAGAAAGGGGACGAGGATACATCGCAAATCGATCCCAACAAATGCGTAACCCTCAGGGTTGTATGGTCAGGATGCATCTGTGAAATATATCGGATAGCGGCCATGTTTCCCAAAAAACGTTGTGTGCCCCAGAGCAAGCCTAAGTCACTCAGGTGTTAGGTTCGCTCACTTAGTCCTATTTTTTGGGAATAAGTGATGCGCGCAATGTAGCGAAGGAGGAGGTGTCAACGACACCTTGTGCCTATCGTTGTCCTCAGTCACTCTATCTAAATGCACAATGCCTCAATTGAAAATTAGGCAGATACGGGGCGATAAATGCACCAAAGTTATACACTTGGTGTAGTATCACCGTACACTACTATAAATGATCACACAAACCATGCCAAACAAGGCATGGTCACAACGTGGTCTCATAAAACCTAAATGTTGGTCAAATAATTAATTATGCGATAATACTAAACAATAACGAAAGGAAAATAAGACATGCATTATTATTATTTTATGAAATTCAAAACATGTTTAGCAATTCGGGTACTCGTAATTGAAGACATGACAGAATTAAAGTCTACACTACGTCCATCCGTCACTCCCATGCATGCTCTAAGGCACAGAAGCAGTCGAAGCTGGGTGACCTGTCTCGGAAGGAAGATCGCCAAGCTCCTCATCAGTGGGGAGTCTGTCAAAAGGAATGTAGTCCAGGGGCGTGTTGGCTACCGGGATCTCAGGGTTGGGAACCTCAGGAGGAAGTCCCCAATCAGTGATGCAAGAGGTACCAGCCTTATCCCTCAAGATAGGATATATTTTCTGTTGAGTGGCATATATCCCGATCTGGTAGGAGATGTAGCTCTCTGAGGCCAGTTTCTCACGACCTTCCGGAGTAGACAACCAATGCTTGTTAATATCGTTCAAGTGGGCATTAATGTATGCTTCCTGATCAGACACGAACTCTGGAGAATTCTTGTATGCATCCACGGCCCGCCCCCTTGCATTGGCCAACTCCACGGCGTGCATTTCTTTAAGCGCAGTGACCTCGGCTGCATGTGAGTCACGCACGAGCTTGAGCGATGCCACCTCCTTCGCTAATTCGGTGAGTTGTAGCGACAAATCTTTCTCGCGCTCATCTTTCCTTCGGCTCACCTCGGAGATGGACAACAGTAGCTACAAAAAAAAAAAAAATTAGTATCACGGGATGCATAAATAAAAGGTAACGGGGAAATGGGAGGGTTACCTCGGCCAGGCCATGGTGGCTCCTCTTCTCTAAAGCAGCATGGTCAAGTGTTGAAATTTTCTCCTTCTCAGTCGCCGTGATCACCTGTGATAAGAGCGGAGGTAACTCAAGGTTACCTCGTAACCAAGTAGTCATCCCCGCCGTGGGAATATCACTCATGCTACGGGTGACGCGGGCTGCGGGGCTAGCGGCCCTGCGTTTTGCAATGGATGAAGGCACAGTTACAATGGCATCCTTGCCTTTTGTGACGGAGGGAACCCTTGGTTTCTTGTCAGAGCGCCCCTGGTCACTACCGCGAGGCCCATCCTGGTCGAAGCTTTGGAACATCTCCAACCGCGATGTCATATCTGCAAAAAAAGGGGGTGTGCATATGTGTTAGTTAATATATATATGCGTGTATTATCTCCTATAGACAAAGTAACTGTGGACAACCTTGATCCGTGGACGTGGATGCGTGTGCACCCGAACATGGTGACGGCGAATAGAGTCCAACCGTGGTTAGGCGGTCTTCGGAAGTAAAGGCAGAGAGGCTATACGGTCCTCCAGAAAGAATCATAGCCGGCCATGTCTCCTGGTCAACTGGAAGTTTCGGGTACGAATACTTCTTAAATCGACAATTCAAAGACGATGAAAAAGGTAACGGAGATCCAGACGACACATAGACAAATTCTTCTTTCCAATTGGCTTCGTTGCTACGAGTGACCTTCCACATGTCAAAGTGGTTGCGCTGAGAGATAGACACCCAGGACAGACTATCAGATGCCGAGCACTGCCCAGCTCGGAACATATGCTTGAAGAGGTCTAGGGACGATTCAATCCCAAGTGTTTCACACCGGACTAATTAAGAAAGCTACCAGATACTGATGACCGAGCGGAGTCAGGTGACAAGGTGAAATTTCAAGGTCATTTAAAAACTCAATAATCAAAGGGTGCGTGGGAAAGCGGAATCCTAATTTTATGGAGAGAATATGCACCCCAAAAAAGTGACCTTTAGGAGGATCGGTTACAATATCCTCCGAATCGGGACATCGGACAGTCACTGTGGACGGAAAAAATTTCTTATACTTTTCAAACTTGGAAACTGAGAGGCGCGACCTGTAGTGTAAGATGGGGCTCGGGTCTAAGGGTGGATACGGACCACGGTAGCGACGCTTTGGTGGTTTGACTGAAGCGGCTCGTGGCTTTATGGGACTAATTTCTTCAACATCAGAATTAACATCTGCCCAGGGATGAGGAAAATTCCCCAACACTAATTCTCCGTCATCACTGAGCAATTCATCAGAGTTTATTGAATCTAATATATCCATAAATGGTGGCAGCTATTCAAATAAAAATGAAAAGGATGTCACTACATGGGCAACAAAGGAGCTACGAACTACAAAGTATGTTTCATAGCCAAAATTAATACGGAGAAGCTTTAAAAAGGAAAAGTCAAAATAACAAATAAAAGGAAAGAGGGAGAATGCAGGGAGCGTACCTCTGTGCGTACCTTAGCAGCAGCGGCGGAAAATCCAGGACAACGACAGAGGAGCCCGGTGCAGAACAACGACGCCGCAGGAAGTAGACGACGACGGAGAGAAATTCCTTGATGTCACTGGAGTTCGCTGGTGTCTGACGACGAAGGACTGATGGCGGCTACCGGGATAGGGCGCAGCAGAAAAACGGACCGCAACCTGGGGCGGGTATAACCGACGACAGTGCTGGTTAAGCTGCAAAATCTGGCGTCCGGCGCTACAGGGTCCACGCTGGTGAAGTTGAGGTGTTCGGTTTACTCGCGGCAGCCGTCGGAGGCTGAAAAGGGCGGTGGCAGGCGGGAACTCTGAGTGGGCTTGCTGGTGGCGTGGATAGACGCCGGCGAGCGGCAGACGGCGCTGGCCTGGTTGCCGGCGAGCTGCGACCTGGGCGGTACAACAATGACGGTGGCTGACCCTCACCCAACCAAGCTGCCAGGAAGAAAGTAAAATGGGGAAGATAAGATACACATTTTTGGTTAAAAATAAAAAATAAAAAACTAAATGATTGAATGGGTTAAAAGCAAATAACAAAGGTTGACATGGTGACCATGTACGCTCAAGGTTGACACGGTAACTGTGTCTACACTCCTTATAGCCAATATGCTATTTGGCTTAAGGAGTGGGGGGCTTGTGATGGTATAATTATCCCAACCATGGATAAATGTTGACCGGGTTAACATGGATGAAAACAGTTAGAGGTTGATGTGCATGGTAACTATGCACGGATGATGACAAGGTATGAGAAGAGCTCGTACATGGTGACCACGCGCGGGTTAGAAGATAAAATACTGTACATGACGACTGTGGACGCAAGTTAATAGAAGATCAGGAACTACACAGTGACCGTGGATGTCGGGGTAGGCTTATCCAGAGAGCATGTCCACAGCAACCATGGACGCGATCAAGTACCTTAGCCAAAGGAGCGTCCACAGCGACCCTGGACATGGTAGTTGAAGCCTATCCAAATAATCTATGCATGGTGTCTCTGGACATCATGGCAAGCTACATGGCAACTCCGTACGACAAACTACATCAATGACGTCTTTTCAGAGATACACACAATCAACAAAGGATCCCGCGGATCCGGATTAGTGATTTGCGTATCAATACGAACATGGCGACCACGTCGCCCAAATCTTTTATGTCTTATTTCCTACTATAAAATCATGTAATCTTTGGAAAGCTCAATACACTGAATACACTACATACATTTATCTCTCTAAAGATTATCCTGAGCACTTTAATTATTTTCGGCTATCTCTTATTAATTATTTTCCGGTGGATTTACTTCCATCATCTATATAGTAACGTGAATTGAAAAAAATAGTAAAAAAACAGATACAAATAGCTTAATTTCAGTTGGGTTACGTTTTATTATAATTATTATAAAAATTAATTGTTATTATATTATGCACACACACACATATACGTATTATACATGTACCATTATAAATTCTAATTGTACGTTTATATGTCAAATTATAAAGTCCTGGATTATTAATTAGCATTGTGCATCATAAAGCATTGTTCACTTTATAATTAATGATATACCAACTCAATAATGAAATAATATATTTATACTAATAAATTTTGAATCATGGTTTATGAAGTAAGTGCTATATATTAATTGTTAAAATAATAAGTGGCCCAAAAGTAGTTAGGATTTTTTCAACTCCACTTACCTGCACTTCCGTAATGGTCTCTACCCATTACTGCTATTTTTTTGATATGCCATGTATTTTCAGTTTTATCTCTTCATTTGCTTGTATAAATAGGCTCTGCAATTTAATGCCTCATGTAGAAAAAAAACATTACTCATTAATACAGTATTATCTCTTCCCAGCAACTTACATATTTCCCTTCTATTAGCTTTTAACCTCTCTGTAATCCTCAATTCTCTGTTATTGGCTTCCGCTTTAATCAGCTAAATTCCTAACAATTGGTATCAGAGCTGTCTTAATTGAGTATTACTTCTAGATATGTCGACGTTCAGCAAGTTCGACATCGAGAGGTTTGACGGGAAAATTAGCTTTTCTATCTGGAGGGTCCAGATGAAAGCCGTTCTTACCCAGAATGGTTCAAACAAAGCATTGGCTGGGAAATCAAAGAAACCTGCTACAATGACCGATGAGCAGTGGGATGATTTGGATGAAAAAGCACTCTCAACCATTCAATTGTGCTTATCTAGCGAGGTTTTGCGCGAGGTGGTCGGTGAGACGACGGCGTCGGGATTGTGGTCAAAGCTGGAATCAATCTATATGACTAAATCTCTAGCAAACAAGCTACGCTTAAAGGAGCAACTTTACACCATCCGTATGGCAGAAGGTACTCCCATTAAGTCTCACCTAGATAAGTTCAATGCGATTCTTTTGGACTTGGAGAATATTGATATCAAAATTGATGATGAGGACCGTGCCGTTCTCTTGTTGGTATCTCTTCCTGTATCATATAAGCATTTCAAAGAAATAATGCTATATGGTAATGTGGATACCCTCACCTTTGAAGACGTGAAGTCTAATCTTTTGTCCAAGGAGAAATTTGACTTAGAAATTAAGTCTGAAGACAAAGGTGAAGGCTTGGCGGTTAGGGGGCGTCCACTTGAAACCGAGAATATCGGCAGAAAATCAAGGTCCAAGTCCAAAGGACGCAAGTCCAACAAAACCTGCAAGTACTGCAAGAAGCATGGCCATGAAGTGTCAGAATGCTTCAAATTGAAGAACAAACAAGAGAGAGAAAAGAAATCTGCTGAAGCTGGTATTGTTGCAAGTGATTCAGAGGGTGACGTTCTGTTATCTGTTAGCTGCGAAGACAAACGGAGCAAAACTGAGTGGATCCTGGACTCTGGTTGTACATTCCATATGTGTCCTCACAAAGACTGGTTTATCTCTCTCGAACCAGTTGATGGTGGAACTGTCTTGATGGGTAATGACACCCAATGCAAGGTTGATGGAATTGGAAGTGTGCAGATCAGAACTCATGATAATGTAATCAGGACGCTTACCAATGTTCGATACATTCCCGATTTGAAACGAAACTTGATATCCTTGGGCACTCTAGAATCCCTAGGGTGCAAATACATAGCTGAAGGTGGAGTTCTGAAAGTCATCAAAGGTTCTCTTGTTCTCATGAAAGCCTCTCGCTCCGGAAGCTTGTACGTGTTGCAAGGCAGTACTGTAACAGGTTCAGTAGCAATATCCTCATCGGTGGTTCATACTGATCTCACTCAACTATGGCATATGCGCCTGGGGCATATGAGTGAGAAGGGCATGCATATCCTGAGCAAGAAAGGCCTCCTAGGAGATTCAGATACAGGAAAATTACCTTTTTGTGAGCATTGTGTTTTTGGGAAACAAAAGAGAGTTAGTTTCTCTACTGCTACACATCGTACCAAAGATGTATTGGAATATATACATTCAGATTTATGGGGACCGACAAAGGTTGAATCTCTGGGAGGTTGTAGATACTTTATGTCAATTATTGATGATTTTTCACGTAAAGTCTGGGTTTATTTCTTGAAGCACAAAAATCAAGCATTTTCTATTTTCAAAAGGTGGAAAATTATTGTTGAAACACAGACAGGGAAAAAGGTCAAGAAGCTCAGAACAGATAATGGTTTGGAGTTCTGCAATTCAGACTTCAACGAGTTTTGTGAAACAAATGGAATTGCCAGACACAAGACATTACCAGGAAAACCCCAGCAAAATGGTGTCGCGGAACGTATGAACAGGACTCTATTGGAGCGAGCACGCTGTATGCTCTCTAATGCTGGGTTGTGGAAGCGGCATGATTTCTGGGCTGAGGCTGTTTCCACTGCATGCTATTTGGTGAATAGATCTCCGCATTCATCTCTTGATTTTAAAATCCCGGAAGAAGTTTGGTCAGGTAATCCTGTTGATTACTCTATCTTGAGAGTCTTTGGATGTCCTGCTTATGCTCATTCTAGTACGGGTAAATTAAACCCTAGAGCTATTAAATGCATTTTTCTTGGTTATGCTTCTGAGTCAAAGGGGTATCGTCTTTGGTCTCCTGATTCTCGAAAAATTATTTTAAGTCGAGATATCACTTTTGATGAGCAATCATTATTCTCTTCTGGAAAAAATTCTACTGTTGCTCCTAGTACTAGTACAGGTGATGAGCAGAATACTGGGCAAAAGGTGGAGTTTGTATTAGAGACCAATGACAATGTTACTCCCATCAATGATGATGTTACTGATAATGCATCTACTACAGTTTCTCCTCATGCTCAGCCACAACAAGAGCATTCTATTGCCCAGGATCGCCCTAGAAGGATAATCAGGAAACCTTCTAGGTATAATGATAATGATGAATCTCATTTAGTTGCTTATGCTCTCTCTGTTGCACAGGAAGTTGAAAGTGATCCATCTAGTTTTTCAGAAGCTATTTCCTGTACTAACTCATCCAAGTGGCTGGTTGCTATGCAAGAGGAAATGGAAAGTCTTCATAAAAATGAGACTTGGGAACTGGTAGATTTACCGAAAGGTAAACGCCCATTGAGTTGTAAGTGGATCTATAAAAGGAAAGATGGCATCCCAGGTGTTGAGAAAGCACGGTGGAAGGCAAGACTGGTTGTTCGAGGATTTGATCAACGCGAAGGTACTGACTTTAATGAGATTTTCTCTCCAGTTGTACGTCATACCTCTATACGAATGTTGCTTGCTTTAGTTGCTTTATATGACCTGGAATTAGAGCAACTTGATGTAAAGACGGCTTTTCTATATGGAGATCTTGAAGAGGAGCTTTACATGTATCAACCCGAGGGGTTTGAAGTTCCTGGGAAAGAGCATCGTGTTTGCCGTTTGAAAAAATCTCTATATGGGCTGAAACAGGCACCTAGGCAATGGTACAAGCGCTTTGATGCTTTTATGAATAAACAAGGCTTCTCAAGAAGCAAATATGACAATTGTGTCTATTTCAAAAGAAATTCTAATGGGTCTTTTATCTATTTGTTACTTTATGTTGATGATATGCTCATTGCTTCTCCTGACATGTCTCTTGTAAATAAGTTGAAGTCTCAACTAAGCAATGAGTCTGAGATGAAAGATCTAGGTGCAGCCAAGAAGATTCTTGGTATGGAGATACACAGGGATCGTCAAGCCGGTAAACTTTATTTATCCCAGAAAAAGTATATTGAGAAGATGCTTGATCGATTCAATATGTCCAACTGTAAACCTGTGTCTACCCCATTTGGCGCACATTTCAAGTTGTCTTCTGATTCATGTCCTAAATCAGATGCAGATTTGATTTATATGAAAAATGTTCCATACTCTAGTGCAGTTGGGAGTCTTATGTATGCTATGGTATGCACCAGACCAGATCTGGCTTATGCAGTGAGTGTTGTAAGCCGATATATGCACAACCCTGGTAAGGAACATTGGAGCGCCGTAAAATGGATTTTACGATACTTAAAGGGTGCTTCTTCTTTGGGCTTGGTTTTTAATCGAAATGCTTCTGTGTCTACTGACATCGTGGGCTTTGTAGATTCTGATTATGGTGGTGATCTTGACAGACGTCGATCACTATCCAGTTATATTTTCACTCTTTGTAATTGTGCTATCAGTTGGAAAGCTACGCTCCAGTCTATCGCTGCACTATCAACGACTGAGGGGGAATATATTTCAGCAACAAAGGGTGTCAAAGAAGCTACATGGCTACGAGGTTTGGCTACGGAGCTTGGTGCTACACAAGGTCAGACCATTGTGTTTTCAGATAGTCAAAGTGCTATCCACCTCACCAAGAATGATACATACCATGCCAAAACCAAACACATCGATGTCAAATACCATTTCATTCGTGACATTGTAGCTGCGGGAGATATAGTTGTTCAGAAGATTCATACACTAGAGAATCCTGCAGACATGCTAACCAAGCATGTTCCTATTGCTAAGTTCAAGCAATGTTTGAGTTTAGTTGGTTGTTCCAGTTATTAGCTTCTGGTGGTGTTGTTTTGGTCCAAGGTGGAGATTGTTAAAATAATAAGTGGCCCAAAAGTAGTTAGGATTTTTTCAACTCCACTTACCTGCACTTCCGTAATGGTCTCTACCCATTACTGCTATTTTTTTGCTATGCCATGTATTTTCAGTTTTATCTCTTCATTTGCTTGTATAAATAGGCTCTGCAATTTAATGCCTCATGTAGAAAAAAAACATTACTCATCAATACAGTATTATCTCTTCCCAGCAACTTACATATTTCCC